ATTGAATCTAATTTCTCATTCTTATTATATATAAAATTTAAGAACTTACCTAGCTAGTTAATAAAAAATTCTTCCTCCAGGGAGCGAAGATTGATGGTCTTGAAACCAACCATTTTGTGCTTGTCCATGGAGGTGGTTTTGGTGCTTGGTGTTGGTACAAAACAATGACACTTTTGGAGGAAAGTGGGTTCAAAGTCGATACTGTTGACTTGACTGGTTCTGGAGTTAGTTCTTTTGACACCAATAGCATCACTTCTTTGGCACAGTATGTAAAGCCACTCGCTGATATCTTTGACAAGCTAGAAGATGGGAAGAAGGTTTGGTGATTTCAATGTTTTCAAAGTGAATTTAAAAGAAATATGCATATGCATCAGCTAGCAGATTAATCTGTATGTTTGACTGATTATACCAGTCTTGATTTCGAAATCAACTGCAGGTCATTTTGGTGGGACATGATTTTGGTGGTGCTTGTATCTCGTTTGTGATGGAGTTGTATCCATCCAAGATTGCAAAAGCTATTTTTGTTGCTGCAGCAATGTTGACTAGTGGCCAAAGTACCCTGGATATGTTCTCCCAACAGGTTTGGCTCATGGCATTTTATACACTCAACTCGAAATCATCTAGCTATCAAACCTGACTCAGATTATCTTAATAATCAGACTGACACAACTCAAATTAATGATGGAGCTAAACTGTTGACCCTAACTAGTTCTTATTAATTCAGCAAGCCATCATCTGCAAATGTCCAATTTCTGGGGTACTGAAACCTTTGCTTGGGTTGTGGTTTTTTTCAGTATGATCAAAAGTTATGGTAGAATAAGGTTGAGTAGTATTTCTGTTACTTAAAAATGGTAGGACTCCATGGTTAAGTTCCTGATCCTGAAAACAAAGTTCTTTGAACTGCTTTCTGCATCAATGTATGCTGATACTTCACTTTATATACCAGACGGACTCGAATGATCTGATGCGACAGGCTCAGATAGTTTTGTATGCCAACGGAAATAACAACCCTCCAACTGCTGTTGATCTCGACAAAACATCATTGAGAGACTTGTTCTTCAATCAAAGTTCAGCTAAGGTACTACTTTCTCCAGAGATTACCATTGCTGTTGGGAAAGTGACTGCTTGTTACTTGCTTGCAACATTTCTACATCGAGTTTGTAATGTCATTGCTAAGGATGCTAAACCTTTTGTCTTCCCCAGGATGTTGCCCTGGCATCAGTATCAATGAGACCAATCCCTTTCGCGCCGGTTTTAGAGAAGCTTTCACTTTCTGATGTGAACTATGGCTCCATCCGACGCTTCTATATAAAAACTCAGGAAGATCGTGCCATTGCTATCCCTTTACAGGAAGCCATGATAAAATCCAATCCACCAGAACAAGTCTTCCAGCTTAAGGGTTCTGATCATGCCCCTTTCTTCTCAAGGCCTCAAGGTTTGCACAAGATACTTATAGAAATAGCACAGCTTCCAGCAAAGCAGGCCTGCAGCAGTACACCTGAGCTGAGGCATCTTTTGGAATATGGCACATTCTGATCTGCGTCTGCTGCATTTTGTGATACTGCAAGCAGAAACAATTAAATTATTCATAACCATGTGCGCGGCTATGCTGTTGTATTCCTATCTGTAATGTAAAAATTCTATCAATCAAGAATTTTTACTTGTATTTCTGTCTTATTGGTTCCAATCAGGGCCATGTAAATGATTTACTACATATTTTTTTGACTTTATCAGAAGTTTAAAAATATGGATAAAATTCAATTTTTTAATTCTTACGAATCCTTACTTAAAGAGTCAAGTTCGAATTCTTTAAAGTCCCTCGTAACGTAATTCAATTAGACAAAATCAAATGATTTATCCTCTCCCAGCTGAACTCCTCATTGGTGTCATAATTGGTATCTAAATGAACTTGCTAACAAGAATCCACACCAACCACAAATGCCAAATGATAAAAGGGAAGAGTCCAAACCTATAGCTGAGATTTGTTTGTGCCGAAATTTGAAAGTAACAATGTACCTACCTACCAGATAATATATAGATGTTTAGCCTAGCAAAACCTTTTTAACACCATTGTTTGGTGATGTGGCAAATGCATGCCACCCCTAATTCTTTTGAGTTTGAACAAAAGGTGAGAAATTATAAAATTATCATATTTAGTTAACTAAATAGTATAATATTTTAAAAAACTTTTAAATTATTTTAAAAAATTATTAAATTTGTTATTTTATTATATTTAATCAAATATTATATTTTTATTTTTGGATTAAATAATTTTGATTACCAATTAATCAATTATCATTAATCAAAATGATATTTATCAATTCACGTACATGCATCATTGAGACGACATTAACATCGAATGTAAAAAATACCAAGTGATTATATTATGATGCTTCATCAATATGATAAGTTAAACGTCTATTATTATATGACAACATGTCTTGATGGTGACATTTTGATTAATAATAATTAGTCAACTGTTAATCAGACAAATTTATTTAATTTAAAATAAATTTATAAAAACATGATTAAATGTAATAAAAAATAAAAATTTATTTATGATTTTTAAAATAATTTAGAAAATTTTTAAATATTATGTCCAAAGAAATAATATAATTTTTTAAAAAAAGGGTGTTTATGTTAAAATCACCTTATTGCTCCAAAAATGCTCAAAAAAGATTTGAAAAAAAAATTCCACCACACAAGTTGAGACCAAAACGGGACTAAAAATTATACAAGAAGGAGTCAAAACGACAGCGTTTGGCCATTATTGCGGTTTCTCAGATTGCCGGTTGCACATGTCATGCCAGATAATCTCCCCGCACCTGATCCATCGCTTATAAGCTAAGCTAGAATTCCAGTCCACTTCCGCCACTACAATTTTTTTGCTAATTCCTCAAAATTTCACTTCGCACTTTCCAATTTAAGACGAAATAGGAAGCTTGGAATTAGCAAAAAGAAAATAGTAGTGAATTTATCACATTGCATTTTTATTACAAGGAGAAGTCGTTTTCAATCCTTGCTATAAAAAAAAGGGGAAAAGAAACGCTCGCATTTCACTTTCTTTTGCAGTAGGCAGCTGCTGTTACTCTCTCACTGCTCTCCACTCTCTCCCCTCCAGATCTGATCTCAAATTTTTCAGGTAAACCCTAACCCTAGATCTCCTCCTCTTCGTCGTTCGTCCGTCTTTTAAAGGGTTTAGCGTTTCAGCACTGAGTTCAGCGTCAATTTCTTGTTTCGTAATCACCTTTTTTATCTGTACACTGATTTGATGTTTTTTCGCTTTGGCTACTCGTTTTTTATGCCTCAATTGATTTGTTTAATATATTTATTTTTTGGATGCAAGTAGAAAGTCAAAGGTTTTTGAAAGAGACTTTCTTCTTGTTCTAATTTGTTGACTGTGTCGATGTTGTAATCATATTGTTTGATCTTTTTTGTAATGATCAGGTTTTCCCCCTTCTCTTTCCTTTTTTATTTTGTTCGATTTTATGCTTATTATGTGGGAAATTCAGTGAAATTCTGAGTTCCTCATTCGTAAAGAGTAAGTTTGGTTTATGATTGAAGTAGATAAATCTGCATTGCCGTAGTTGAAATGTGAATGGTATTCGATAGTTTGGTTAGTGAGGGAATTTTGGAACAAAAATCGGGAATGTGGTGAGTTATGAAGGACCTTTCAAAAAAAAGAAAAAGAAAGATTTTGGGTTTCAATTTGATTTAATTGAG